GGCCCCCCCCTTTCGCCGCCCCTCCAGTCGCCGACAACGTCACGGGGCGCAGGGTGATGACGTGGCACCCCGACCTTCCCCATCCAAGATGGCTGCTGTCAGGAAGGAGAGACGTCGCTGAGGGGTTTGCCTGAGGCGAGGGGTGAGTATCTAGCTGACGGCGGGCAGCGCCGCTCGCCTTCCTTCCGCGCACCTGGTGGTCCGAGTAGGGTATGTCCAACTTCCTGGGTTCTGTGGGAGTTCCACTTCCCGGCTTCCGCCGCCTTCCTTCCGCCAACCCCGGGTGCACGCTGAAATCAGCGGGCGCCGCCGGGTGAGGGCGACGGAGCTCGGGGAGGGGTGTGCGGCTTGGGGTGCGCCACCAAAAGCCGAGAACTGGTGGCCGGCCGGCCGGCCTCCCAGGGGAAGGTGGCCGCGATGTGGGCGTGGGTGGGCTCTCGCAGGTGAGCAAAAGGGGAGGGAGCGTACGCGCCCGTTCCCTGCCGCGGGCTGACCCAGTCGTCTCAGTGGACCCCTCTGTTCATTAGGACTGGGGCTTTGGAGCGCTTCCCGTGGCTCTTGAACCCTGGCACAAGAGTATGACTAGGAGTGAAGAAAAGGGGACTCCCTCAGGTAGACTGCTCGTGCTTATCCAGACACCATTCTCTCTTGGTTTGGCTTGTTAGTGGAATTGATCTTTACTCAATTTGCAAAATACATCTATATGTTTTTCCGGGGGGGGGGGAAATCTTAAAACAGTTCAACATGCATAAGGTATACTTAGTGGCGTTCATAACTTTGGACTGCCAATAAAACGGACCTTTCCGTAAGTCATCCTGTGTAAGAAACAGCCTGATTCTAAGTTACTACAGATTAGCTTTTTTTTTTTCTTTTTTTCTTTTTTTTTTTTTTTTTTTTTTTTTTTTTTTTTTGGGAAAGGTTTTCTCTGATTTCCCTGCATAATCCTGGCTGGTGTGGAGCTCTCTTTGTGTAAAGGAGGTTGGCCTCCAGCTCATCGAGGTCCTGCCTCTGCCCCCAGTGTGCTCATGTGCCACGAGTCTCGGCTAAAGACTTTTGTTTGTTAAAGGATAATTGGGCAGCACCTTGCTTTTATAGACCTGCATCACACGTGAATGATTCCATGAAAGTGTAGAGATTGCAGGCCCCACTACTTAGACCATTATATGACTCTTAATGGTGAACACATTTAATCCCAGCACTCAGGAGGCAGACGCAGGTGGGTCTCTGTGAGTTCGAGGCAAGCCTGATCTACAGATCAAGTTCCAGGACAGCCAAGGCAGTTACACAGAGAAACCCTGCCTCGAAAAAAACTACAAAAAAAAAAAAAATGTATTTGCTGAGTGAATTAAAATAGATGGGTAATAGCCTTAGTGATGTTGATAAATGTTTTGATGAAAATTTTTAGTGTTGCCAAGATCCCTTGTTTGCTAAAGAATCACCTGTGATGAATATACTTGGTTTTAGGGGTTTTCTCCTTTAGTCTGGTATTTGCATATTTTGATGTACTATTCAAGCATACTATTAGTTGATCATGATTTTAACTGAGTTTTTTTAGATGATGCTTGAATGCAGTGAGTTCACTGAATATATAAGGAGAAAAGAGTTCTCTGCTTTTGTTCTTTAAACTTCGGTAAGAATAGTCAGAGGGAATTAAATTCAAGGAGATTGAAGAATTTTTAAATTACACCTAGTTGGGTTAAATCTAATTTGTTGTTTTTGGGGTTTTGGTGGGTTTTGGGGGGGGGTTGAGACAGGGTTTCTTCTCTGTGTAGCTTTGGAACCTGTCCTGGAACTTACTTTGTAGACTAGGCTAGCCTCCAACTCATAAAGATACATCTGTCTCTACTTTCTGAGCACCACCACCATTCTACCAAATTTGTGTTCTTTAGATCAGATAAATTAGATAGCATTTACATCCAGAATAATTTTAATGTTGTAACACTGTTCAGAGCTTTTGAGAATTCCTGCATAAACAGTTATGAAGAACTGCAGTAGAGGCTGATATGCTTCTGGGATTTTCTTGGAGTACACATCAGCAGTCTCTGATGTAAGAAGTGTAAGACTAAGTGTATGATGTAAGAAAAAAGTGAAGTGATGCAGATTACATTTGTGTGAAAAGGTGGAACTAGGGCTAGAGAGATGACTTAGCAACTAAGAGTACTTGCTGTTCCTTCAGAGCTCATGAACTTAGTTCCTAACACCCATGGCAGGCAGCTCCTGGCAGCCTATAATCTCTGCCACAGAGAATCTAGTACCCTCTACTGGAACCTACACACATGTGACATACACAGGCACACATATACATGTAAATGAAAACAATAAATTTTTCTAAAAGTACATATCAAAACTAGGGGACTAATGACTCTGTGGGTAAAGAGCTTTCTATACAAGCATGAAAACTAGAATTCAGGCTCCTGGCTTCATGGTGCTCCTGTACCTCCAGTGTACGAGACAGGTGCATCCCACCTGTCTGGATAGCTGGACAGCCCTAACTGAAACCCTGTTGATGAAGACATCCTTAAGTTGTCCTCTGGCCTCTATACATATACCCACACAGGAGACCACACTCTTACACACACACACACACACACACACACACAGAGAGAGAGAGAGAGAGAGAGAGAGAGAGAGTTTGTTCCACTGTAGTAAATAGCAGGTTGCTGCTGAATGTAAGTACTTTAGGTTTCATCTGAGGATAAAATACTCTATGTCCTACTAGGCACAAGAAGTGCATATACCTTTAGTAAGATACAGTTAGGTTGATTTATGTTCATATTACTAAACCAGACTTGTTGATTGGCAGGTTGATGTTGGCCTGAAGAAAGATCCTCAGAGGTAAGCCATGGGACTCTCAATTCTTGCTCTAATATCTGAATCACAAATAATCTAAGAACCATGGTTCTCCCTGCGAGAACCATGGTTCAGAAGTTCAGACCATATGGTTAAGAGTACTGGCTGCCCTTCTAGGGGACCCTGGTTCGATTTTGAGCATGCATATGGTAGCTTATAAATGTCTGTAACTCTAATGCCAAGGAATCTGACACTCTTCTTCTGACCTTCAAAGGTACCAAGCATGCTCATCGTGCACAGACACACATGCAGATAAAACACCCATACACATAAAATAAACACTTTTTTCTATGGAATGTGGGTATTAAAAGAAAAGAGCCGGTCGGTGGTGGTGCATGCCTTTAATCCCAGCACTCGGGAGGCAGAGGCAGGGGATCTCTGTGAGTTCGAGACCAGCCTGGTCTACAAGAGCTAGTTCCAGGACAGCCTCCAAAGCCATAGAGAAACCCTGTCTCGAAAAACCAAAACAAAAAAAAAAAAAGGAAAGAAAAGAGAAAATGCATATTGCTCTCTGGTTCCCAGCACCCAAGTCAGATGGCTCACAACCTCCTGCCAACTCTGGCCTCTGCTGACACCTTCGCAGATACATGTGCATACACATAATTGAAAATCTTTTTAAAAGAATTGGGCATCTCAAGTTAATAAATGCACACAGACAATGTACTAAAAATAAGTAGCATTCATGGTGACACTGAGATGGTCTTTTTTTTGCAGTGCTAGGAGTTGAGCCTAGATCCTTGGCATGCTAGACAAACATTCTACCACAGAGTTTGTAAAAGCAGAGATAATAGACCCAAACTGACTAAAAAATGGTTAAGTTTACAGAATCTCAGCTGCTGTAAGAGAAAGACCTGTCTTGATAAAAGTGTTCTTCATGCAGTATTGCATTTATAGAAACAAAGTGTGCAAATTGAGGAAATGCAGTATCTTAGACAGAACTAGCAAATCTGGCCTCTGCCTAACTCTGCATGCTGCTTGCTGTCTCTGGCTCCATTGACTTCAATTCTCAGTGATAAATTCTGGGACTAAAAAACATTGTGTGTCATGGTTACCGAAAAATTTTGAGCTGTAACCTACAAAGTATCTGGATCATTGCCAACCAATTCAAAACTCACTCTCTCACTCTCTCTCTCTCTTTCTCTCTCTCTCTCTCTCTCTCTCTCTCTCTCTCTCACACACACACACACACACACACACACAAATTTTGAAATTAAATGCACAATAAAGTAACATGAGATATTAAAAACAAACAAAAAAGTTGTGGAGGCACTCGCCTTTAATCCCAGCACTTGGAAGGCAGAGACAGGTCTCTGAGTTGGAGGCCAGCCTGGTCTAGTGAGTTCCAGGGCAACCAGGGCTGTGTAGATAGAGACACTGTTTCAAAGAAAAGAAAAAGAAGGGGGTAAGGGGATTATACAAGGTATGGTGGTACATACACACTTGTAATACCAGATTGTAACTTCTGGGCCAGCCTGGGCTACATAGCTGGCTCCAAGCCAGAAGTCTGTAAGAATTCTGTGAATGTGGTTTTTTGTTTATTTGTTTTGATGCTCAGTGGTGTATAGGCTGTTTTCTAAACTGGTCTCATTAATGAATGAAGTGAATTAGTGAATGCCCAGTTAGTGCTGTTATGTGCACTACTGGTATGAAATGAGACCAGTGACATCAACTATAGACTGAACAAGTATGGTTTTTCCATGTGTGTTCTGAGATCTTCCCAGCCTCATCTTCCCACTGGGTTCTTTCCCCCACCCAACTCTGCCCTTTTCATTGCTGCTTCTCATAGCTGTGGCGCTGCTCTGAGACCCTCGTTCATCCTAACATCGCCTGCCACGTCTTCCTCCAGGCTCCCCCCTGTGATTACAATGTAGTAAAAAATTTCTTGTCCCTAAGAAACAACAGTAATTCTATTATCCTCTATACACGGTTTACATTTTACATTTCCCTAATTTTTCAAATTTTCTTTTATTGCTTAATAAAACAGTATTAATCAAGGCTTACACATTGCATTTGTTTACTATACCCCCTTCCTGTTATTTCATTTTCTCATAATAACATTTTAAAGAACCCAAATCATGTCTTTTTTATTCTTTTTTTAAGATTTATTTCATGTACATTGGGGGTTTACCTGCATGTATGTCTGTATAAGGGTGTCAGATCCCCTGAAACTGGAGTTACAGACAGTTGTGAACTGCCATGTGGGTGCTAGGAATTGAATCTGGGTCCTTTGAAAGAGCAGCCAGTGCTCTTAAATGCTTGAGTCATTTCTCCAGCCCCCTATTTACTTTTTAAAGCAGGGTCTCTCTGTAGTCCTGGAACTCAATGTGTAGACTAGGCCAGCCTCAGATTTCACAGAGATCCTCTCTCCTGCCTGATTAAAGGTGTGCGCCAGCATGCCCAGCCTCCAAATGGTGTTTCTTGTCAAGCACCCCACTTTGGGGTGTGGTTAATAGCTCCCTTGTGCCAGTTAACTTGCTCCCACCACCACCACCACTTACTGTGAGCTAGCAGTTGGGTCTAAAAGGCATGGTCAGGTATAGGTGATGATTATGGAAGGCAAGGATACTGTGTAAGTAGACAGATATGCTTATTCAATCTTGCATGCCATCACAAAGTACATATGGAAAAATTCTTAGCAGTACTGACTTTGAGCATTTTAAGATAAAGTTACTTTTTTAATTGTAGCTATTACCAGTGCTAACGTACAGTCAGCTTTTTTTTTTTTTCTGATAATTTTTATTTTATGTGTATGAGTATTTGCCTGGATATGTGTCTGCACCACATGTATGCAATGCCCGGAGAGGCCGGAAGAGGGCTTTGGGTTCCCCTGGAACTGGAGTTACAGTTGTGAGCTACCTACCATGTGAGTGCTGGGACTTGAATCCCAGTCTTCTGGTGGAGCAGCCAGTGCTCTTAACCATCTCTCCAGGCCCAGTTTTTCTTTCTGCTGTTTGTGAGCTGTCCTTGCAAATGACCCTGCAGTGAATAATTTGTTCATATGTTTGCACAGTTGGGATTGTGTTTCCAGGAAGATTCCTAGCAGTGGGATTGCTAGGTCAAAGAGCAAATGCATGCATCTTTGTTGAATGTTGCCAATTTCCTCTCTTCGGTAGTTGTACCACTTTGTTCTCACATCAGCAACTTAGGAGACCACTGGCTTCTCCCGGCCTTGCCAGCAGTAAATTGTTAAACTTTCAGGGTTTTGCTAATTTGTAGGTGAGAAGGGTATTTCAGTGTCACCAATCAGTCCCCTCACTAGCAAGTAAATTACAGGCTCAAACAGATGCATTCTACAGCTGCTTAATTCTTCCTGCTGGAAGAAAGATTAGATTCCTTTTTGAACAGTCCAGGTGCCAGGAGCAGAATGCTCTGCCCTACCGTGTCGGCTTTCCCACCAGAAATGATACAGGCCCTGAAGAAGGTAGACTTCTAGATGCAATGGTGGGCCTATGACCTGAGCCTGAAACTGAGTTTTTGCTTACTTAGCTGCCTGATTCCACTCCTCATTTGGAACTCTTGTGCTGCCAGGGTGAAATGTTGCTTCTGAGCCACTTTACAAGGTGTTGACTTGTGGTAGCCTTGAGTAAACTCCTTGTTTCTATCTTCTGTCAACCTGGGGTTTTAGAAACTAGAAGCATCTAAAGGAGATGCTTCCTCATGGACCCTCTCCTGTCCATTCCCCGCAGTACTATGCAGCTGTGTGGCTTAGAGACTTGTGTAGGTGTAAGTTAAACCAGTCCTATGACATTCGTAAGTGAAGTCAAGTAAAGTAAAAACTGGGATGTCTGACCAGTAGGGGCTAATTGCAGAGATAGGTAATATGAGTGTAGTGTGTCAGACAGGCCCAGGTTGTACTGAAGAATGGAATATAAACCAGCAGCATAGGCTTATATGTCCATGAAAAAAAGGCAAGAAGGAATCAGAGCATACTTAATTTCCTCCAAATTTGTGTTTAGCTTTAACCCTTTAGAATTCAGGGTATGGAATGCTGTGCTAAACCACCATTAACTCGGATTTATCAGTACTGGAATAGTGTATGTGTGTTAAGTTGGCTTTGGGGGGGTGAGGGGTTCCTGCATCAGCCATGTTGTATGGTTGTGAATTATTTATGATTAGTATTATTAATAGTGTACCATCCTTTTTGTATCTTTTCTTCCTTCTCTTAGGATTGTAACATTCCAGAAGCCCTTTTGGGAAGAACAAGTCTACTTCAATAAATGAAGGAGAACAAAGAAAATTCAAGCCCTTCAGTCACATCAGCAAACCTGGACCACACAAAACCATGTTGGTACTGGGATAAGAAGGACTTGGCGCATACACCCTCACAACTTGAAGGACTTGATCCAGCCACTGAGGCCCGGTACCGCCGAGAGGGGGCTCGCTTCATCTTTGATGTGGGCACACGTTTGGGGTTGTATCCTGAGTCTCTGTGGGATTTGTTACGAATAAGCTCTCCACCACCAAGAATAAGATTAGCTACCATAGACAAATGTGCAGTCATTTGGCTGCACTAGCACAGGTCTTCAGTACCTTTGATATCAAAGTTGCCTGATTGGCTGTTCAGGGATTCTATCTGTCTTATCATTTTAATGTGTTGACTCAACTGTTGAGCAAATGGCTACTGAGGAAGAAAACCAGCCACAATAAGATCACATCTCAAATATTTCTTATGATTTGCTAAATTACAAATCTTGGCAGTTCTCATTCTGACACTAGAATTCTGATACCCTATGATTTCTGCCTATTTACTTGATGGCTGATTTTGTTGATATTGTCTGTCTTTATCGCTTCTCTGAATTAGCTAAGAACGTAACTTGTAGCTATTCCTAGACAAAGCCTTAACCAGAACAACAGACACTATGACACCTTGGCAACTGGAATCATTTATTTTCATCGATTCTATATGTTTCATTCCTTCAAGCAATTCCCACGATACGTAAGTGCAGCTCTCACATGCTGCTGTCTCTCCTTACTGGCTAGTGGGTCTTTCCATATTATTTTCCAGAATATGTTTGTTTCTATGTGGTACATGCTATACATAAACAAATTCCATTTTGAATTTTGTGTTTTTCCAATTAACCTTGTTGAAATCTTTTTTGTTTGGGTCAGTATGGACCACAGACTTATTATAATTTATATAACAGTTTACTTATTTATCTTTCCCAAGATAAACGGGTTTAAGTAAGGCCATAACTTAGGTGTATAGACAGGACTGTGATATTTAGGGAAGGGGGGCGTATAAATTATATCTAGGAAATGGACCATGCAAGGGAGAGAGTGCCAGGAGAAAGCTAAGTTTTGAATATACAAGAACTGGGATGGGCTAAGACAGCAGGCTAAAAGAAACAGCTTGAGGAGATGCAGAAGGAGGCACACAGTACAATGGCCAGTTGTCAGTCAGGAACTCCATTTGGCTGGCTAGGAGTACATGCTGCTCTTACAGAAGACCCCATTTCTATTCCTAGCATCTATAAATCCAGTTTCAGGGGGAAATGACTCCTTCTTCTGGCCTCCATGGGCACCGACATACATCTTTTGCACATACAAACATCCAGGCAAAATACTGATATACATTAAATAAAATCATTTTTTAAAAAGGGCCCTATATGGCAAGGTAAGCTGAGTCCATAATAAGCTTTTAATGCCTGTTTTCCTTCTTGGCTTGTGAGGTTCTTAAAGAAGGTAGTGTCAGTGTCAGTTTTATCCACTGGCAGAGTGTCTGGAACATCCATTGCAATCAGAATTGTATGACAAACGTGTTGTGTAGAATAGAAGGGGCCCAGAAGCAACTGAAGGGTCTCTGGCTTGGTCCTTTGGGTTGTGGAAACAGAATTCCTCTCGGTCTTGGAAGTGGAAGTTCAGGGTGCAGAGGGATGGAGTGATTGTGTGCCTTCTTACTGTGTCCTCGGGTAGTAGTGGGGAGGAGAGTAGACTGCTTCAGGCCTCTTTCAGGGGGGCAGTAGTCCTAAGTGCCAAACTCTGGGGATCCATGTCAACATGTAGGTAGGAAATCAGAGTGGGTGCTCTCGTAAGAGCGCAGCAGGGAGGAAAGCAAGTGTGGTCCAGACAGACGGGACTTGCTGCTTCCAGAGTAGTTTCCATCCCGAGAAGGAAAGGGCTACCCAGGACTTTGTTCCTCCCATTATTTTCTTTGTATCATGACAGTTTCCTCTTTTTTGTTGCAGGCCGGGGGTTCATACCCAAGATACCATGCATCCAAGGCGCGCACACTCACACACACACGCGCGCATGCACACACACACACACACAACCTGAAGGCTATAAATTTTAATTGTTTTGCAAAGCCACTTATTTTTAGGGTTATAGTGTGGCCTTCCAGCTTTCAGAGTGTTAGGATATTTGCAATAAGCTGTGCATAAGAGTCTGAGGACTGGCTAATTTTAAGGTCAGAACATTCTCATGGGATCTCTGCTAACCAGTCAAGAGTGTTTATTATTCTTTTAGGTAACAGGAGCTTGTTGTCTTTTTCTGGCTGGGAAAGTAGAGGAAACGCCAAAAAAATGTAAAGATATCATCAAAACAGCTCGTAGCTTATTAAATGATGTCCAGTTTGGCCAGTTTGGAGATGACCCAAAGGTAAGAACCCGAACTTCCTGCCTTCAGATCTTATCACCTGGAGTGTTGGCAAGGGCTCTAGCTACTGTGCCTGCCAGTTCTTGGGTTCCTAAGAGGAACTTACAGAAAAGCCTTCCTAGCTTTGTAAGAGGAGGTCATATGGCCTAGGCTTGCCAAGTACTCCTGACATGTAGGACAGCACCTGAGAGCATATCCAGGGGATTCAGCAAACTCCTACTCCCAACTGGCTTTTTTTTGGCCCAGGAAGATATGTGCTCTTGTGTTTGCTTCTTTATTACATTTGTATTTGTTTTGTGTGAATGCCTGTGTGCTCGTGCAATGAGTCTTTCTCTGTTCCTCCAGCTCCCAAATAATGATATGAAGGCTTACTAATTATGAAAGCTTGGCCTTACTTGGGCTTGTTGATAACTGGATCTTATAACTTAAATTAACTCATTTCTATTCATCTAAGTGTTGCCACGAGGCTCGTGTCTTTTACCTCTCCTTCTGAATGTCCTGCTTCCTCTGCATCAGGCTGATGACTCCCCCCTTTCTTCCCAGAGCTCCTGTCTAGAAGTCCTGCCTATACCTCCTGCCTTGCTGTTGGCCGTGTAGCTTTTTATTAAACCAATCACAGTGACATATCTTTACACAGTGTAATCAAATATCTCACACATACATGTGTGTGTGCATACCTCTCGAAGTCAGAAGACAACTTGAGGGAGTACTGGAGAACTGAGCATCAAATCCAGGTGGTCAGGCTTGGAAGCAGGCACCTTTACCTGCTGACTCATCTGCCTGCCCTGTGTCTTACCTTCTTAAGGATGTGCAAGGTACTAAATTTGTAACACATTTAGATCTCCAGAGACTGCTCAAGCTTTCTGTCTCGTCCTCTCCCACCCCCTGCCAGTGCCAGAAAATGTTACAATAATTGTGCACATTTTTATTATATAACAGTGCCACTTTTGGGACCTCTATTCCCACCTAATGCCCCTGTCTAACCTGCATGGCACCTTTATAACATTGTCATAACTTGGAGTCACATTTTTCCACAGTTGTTTTGTTTTTTAAATTAGAACCAGGGTCTAGCCATATATGATCTTAAACCCCAGATCCTCCTGCTTCAGACCACAATGGCCAGTCAAAGAGTTTACTGGTTTTTAGGTCAGTTTTAGCCTCACAGCCAAATCAAGTGAATGACCAAAAGTTATTATGTCCTCCTTCATCACAACACACAGCATCTCCTATTGTCAGCAGAACGAAACATTTGTTAGAGGTGACACACCCTTACCCCCAACTCTAGTATTCAAGGTCCAAGCATTGGTTTTATAGATTCTGTGGGTTTGGATAAATGTGATAGGTATCCAGTATCACAGTGTGGTACTATATACTTGCTGGGTCCTGCAAGTCCTCTGTGCTCTGCCTTCTGGCCTGCTGTCCCTTTAATTGACTTTATTAGTTTTCCCCATTTCCCATTTTCTGTAACAACAATATGAATCATACAACCAGCCATTTTACATTATTTTCTTTCACTTAGCACTTTGAGTTTAATTTTCTGTCCATTATATAGATTTTTACCAACTAATCATGCAGATAACCTTTTTGTCATCTCAGCTGTAAGACTATGCAAGCAAAGACTGTCTGTGTCTGTCTGATCAAAAACATTCAAGTTACTTTGTTGACTAAAGGACAAATTAATGTTCTACAAGAAACTCAAAATCCTAGTTCAAACAAGGCTAGGGTGTTGTTGCTTGACATCATTCATGGTCTCTCTCTTTTTTTTTTTTTTTTTCTAAGTTATATTTATTTATTGGAGTGGAGGCAAGGGGCATGCTTGTGCCATGGTGCAGGTGTGGAGGTCAGTTGTGCTCAAGTTGTTAGCCTTGATGGCAAGCGCCTTTACCCATTGAGCTCTCTCATCTGCCGGTCTTCTCTTTCCTAACTGTCTTGTAGTATCTTGTAACAACTATCTTCTCTTTTTCCAAAGCAGCATTTATATGTGTGTATAAAACATGCAGCCATTTTCCTTACAGCTTTGCAGAACTAACAAGTGTCCAGAATACTCATCTACATATTGTGGTTATGATTAACACTAATGCTTTGTAAAGTTGTCACTGTGGATCATTCTGACCCTGAATTTAATTATATATGTTACTCTGTTTATAAACATTTGAACCTGCTCAAAACTTATATTAACAATAATCAGAAATACAATTTTATTTTTAAAAAATATGCCAGGGAAGAATGTTTTCTATGTCCATGGACATTTGATTTCTACAGAGCAGTGAGGTCTCATGCCCTTGATTTGACTAGTCATGCGCTTCAGCCAAGCCTTGGCCACAGGACAAATGATATTTGTAGTGAAGTTCGGTTAGGGTAAGACCACTGTGAGGCAAAGGTACCTAATGGCTGCTACTGTGTACTGTTGTGGGGTGCTTTGAAGGAACCTCCCCCAGCCCACCCCTGCCAACCTTCAGCACCATAAATAGGAAAAGGAGAAGGACCCAGTGAGTGAGCAGTGCTGGCCCCGTCCTGTCTGTCATGCAAGGTCTCCAAGATGTGATGTTGGAGCTAAGAGGCGTGGGAAAGCATTTTCCCTAGGCAGAAGTGAAGTGATTATTTTGGCATTATAAGTGTTCCAGAAAAATAAATTGGTTAGCTGGGGGACTTTCTTTACTAGCTATGCTCTAACGAGTTTTTCCCAGCAAAATACCGATTTTTTTACATATTCAGTAGGATCCTTTTTTCGACCCCTATCCCTATCTTTTTTGTTGTCGTTGTTTTTATTTTTCGAGACAGGATTTCTCTGAAGCTTTGGAGGCTGTCCTGGAACTCTCAGTAGACCAGGCTGGCCTCGAACTTACAGAGATCCATCTGCCTCTGCCTCCCAATTGCTGGGATTAAAGGTATGGGCCACCACCGCCTGGCTCAACCCCTATCTTAAGACTAGACACAAAACAGGATGTTATCTTTGCTGCAGTAGATTCTACAATGGACTGGCAGGATCGATTTTAATCCCATAATCATTTACTTGATTGTTAGCTATGGTACATGCTATAAAAGATCATTTGAAGATGCTATGAGAGCACCCTACCCAGAGACATAGACAAGCAGAGGCTGAAAAAAGCTTCCCTGAAGAATGGTGTTTGCAGGGATACCTGTAATTAGCTCATTAACTGAGTAGCTGAAACACAGAGGGAGTGTGACCTGGGGCTGTCCACAGCCTGGAAGTTACTGGCATACTCAGTAAAGGTGACTTCAACATTTAGAGAATGCTGGTGCCTCTGGGAAACAGGCGCTGACGGTAATAATAGGCAAGAGAAGGAGGATTTGCTACAGTGTGCAAGTTCCTAAAACTTTAGAAAGCTGTCATGAGAGATCACTGGGAAACCAGGGTAGAAAACTTGAGGCTTGCCAAGTGATGAGGAATACTAAATGTTAGAGAGTTGTCTACATCCATTGACATAATGATCCAGGGTGAGAGCCACTTATCCATCTCCTCTTCCCAGAACTCACGTTGTGCAAGAGTTAGTGATGAGAGGTTTTCCGCCCTTTCTTTTGCCAAACAAGCTTCCTCTCTAGTCCTCCAGTATCTGTAAATCATTGGGCGGTGTGGTGGGCAACTTCAGGAAATACCTGTTGAAGGACACCAGCTAAGTAGAGCATGAAAAACAGAGAAGCGGTGTGCAGCAGTAAAGCTCTAAAGAATGAGCCTGCAGGGAACAGAGCACTCTGAAACTGTTGGGAAAATCTCCATTTCCTAAGTCACTCTTTACACTCAGTAAGTTCCCAGTCATGATAGCAGAGGTGTGCACTGTGAGATATGTGCAGAACCTACAAACGTAAAGAGCAGGGGTGAGCCCTGGACCTCCTCCTTGGATCATAATACAGCAGGAGAGAGAGATTGATAAACAAAGAAAGGGCTTTTATGGCTAAGATTTGAGGTGGCATTTCAGATAGAATGATCTCTATTCAGCATATTTTATGAATGAGTGAAGCTTGGGAATGATAAAGCCTGTGCACACACGATCTCTCCCTGTGTGTACAGCTTCTGAATCATGAAACCACCTGTTTCCTCTCTCATATCAGCATCCAGCGGAAAGTCCTGAGAGATTACATTTTTTTAGTAAGCTATAAATAAAAGATCAAACTGACAGAGTGGATCACACCTATAATTCATGCATGTGGGAGACTGACAGAGGAGATCACTGTGAGTTTGAGGCCAGCCTGAACTACAGAGTGAGTTCCAGATCAGCCTGAGCTGGAGTGAGACCCTGCCTTAAAAATTCCAAACAAAAGTAGAACCACTGTGATGGCTCAGTTGGGACTGTGCCACTGTAGGGACCTGAATTCAACCCCCAAAACCTACATAGAGATGAGTGGAGAAAACCAGAACTACCTAGTTGTTTTCTGACCTCCACACATCCGCCGTGGCATACACACACTCTCACTGTGTAAGCACATACATTTACTCAATAAATTTTAAAAATAGGTTTCAAAGGCCTGGTTTTCAAAGGTGGCTTGTGTATTTGCCATAATGCCTTGAATGGCCTTTGCTTTTTTTTTTTTTTTTTTTTTTTTTTTTTCCCCTAGTTTTTTTCTCTGACTAGTTTGTTCACCTGTTTCTGAATTTTTAGATTATCATTATGCACCCGTGTTAAAAGGCTGAGTGGAGGTAGAAAGGAGCAAAGAACATGTACTAAGATAGAACTAAGAGTGCTTAGGCACAGACCTATGGTCATAATCAACCCTTTGAACATTTGCTACTCTAGGAAGAAGTCATGGTGCTGGAGAGGATCTTACTGCAGACCATAAAGTTTGATTTACAAGTGGAACATCCATACCAGTTCCTACTCAGATATGCAAAGCAGCTCAAAGGTGAGGCGATGAAGTGGGTTTTGCTGTGTTGTTGAATTGTTGTTGGTTTTTTATAGTTCTGGGGATGGAACCTAAGACTTTTGCATGTCTTAAACAAGTGCTCTACTTTGGAACCACATCCCCAATTGTTTTTTTGTTTTTGTTTTTGTTTTTTTAACTTTCATTCTGAAATAAAATCTTTTAATTTGACCATGCTCAGATTATGTTTCTCAAAAGGAGAAAACAGAAAGTTCCCTGTATAATGTACCCAGACCATGGCTCACTCAGACAGTGCAGTAATGGAGCTGTTAATGCTTTTCCTTTATGCAGAAACAGGTTCTGTCATCCTGTTGCCAAGTGATAGGAGACAGGGAAATGAGTCAGGATTTTAAATAGACTAATAAAATTAGCCTTGGAGCCACATTTCCCATAAATGGTGGTTCAGCGTAGGTCATGTAGAGAATATCAAGAGGTAGGATGTGAACTCATGTCATTTGTCATCATTTTCTGTTCAAAAGCTCTTTGCTGTGCTGGCACACAAATATTTTAAGTAAATGCTTGTCACATCCTCTGAATTATCTTTCCTACTATTCCTGTTAATTTACCTCTTGTTTTTCCATTTCTAGGTGATAAAAACAAAATTCAAAAGTTGGTTCAAATGGCATGGACATTTGTAAATGACAGGTATACATGTTCAGATGTTGATTGAATTCATGTTTTAAAGGATGCAAAGGTATATGGACCATTTAGTGCAAACCCCTCAACTCCAAGTAGAAGTAAATTGACTTGCCCTCACTCATCTGCTTCTCTGCACAGGTGTCTTTCACCCTGTTGCATTAGTGTGATGTGAGGGGAAAATGGAGACTATAATTCGAGTGGATGCTGGACTGCTTAGGGCCCATTTGGTCTCTTGTGATGATTTCAGAGCTTTAAATGTCCCTAACGAGCCAGTAACTATAGCTGCTGGCAACTGCACTCTGTGACCTGCAGAGAAGCATCTGGAATCTGACTTACAGACAGCTTGAGCAACCACCCAGAGTTCATTTGCAGACAGTACACTGTCTGGGTTCTCAGCAGCTAGAAAAAGGACACAGCCCCATCTCCTCTGTCACATTGCGCAGTCGTCTCTGAAATGTGCTGCAGGTCATGCCTTTAGAAAGCAAGTCGGTAACCATGTTTAAAGCAGCTTATTTGGGCACTTAAAGACTTGATTTTTGTGTGTGTGTGAGACAAGCTTCATTTACTTGTCAATCCCAGTTCCCTCACCCTTCCCTCCTCCCCTGTTCCCCACCAACCCCCATCCCATCCCCTTTCTGCTCCCTAGGGAAGGTGGGACCTTCCATGGGGGAATCTTCAGAGTCTGTCATATCATTTGGAACAGGGCCTAGACCCTCTCCTGTGTAAGACTTGCTTTTTTAATGTATACTACCTCTGGCTCTTGATGATTAAGCAAACTGACTAGTTGGTAACTGTGATAATCTGATGTCTGTGTTGGTCACGAATGTTGACTATCACAATGCAAACCATTGTTTTGTTTCCCTGTTGTTCCAGTCTCTGCACCACCCTGTCACTGCAGTGGGAGCCGGAGATCATAGCTGTAGCAGTAATGTATCTTGCGGGACGTTTGTGCAAATTTGAAATACAAGAGTGGACCTCCAAACCCATGTACAGGAGATGGTGGGAACAGTTTGTCCAAGATGTCCCTGTTGATGTTCTTGAAGGTACCTGGCATGCCTCACTTCCTGTTAAGAATGTTGATGATTCTTCCCTTTGGTCCCCAAGGCCTAAGAGCCAACTTTCCCAGATAAGTAGCTATCCTGGTTTGTCAGTAGCATCTTTAGTTGTCTAAAATGGTTTTCCTTTGTGCACAGAGCTTAATGAACTAAAAATAAAGCCCAGTTTTGTGCACAGCAAAGATGGGGCAAATTTGAAATGTGACCACTGCTTATTAGTTCTTGTAAGAATCAGAGGTGATTTCTTTTTCCACCCCTAGGTAAAATTTGGTTTAAAATGTTGGTTTGTGGTAAATGTAATTGTTGCTGTCATTTAGACATCTGCCACCAAATCCTGGATCTTTACTCACAAGGGAAACAACAGATGCCTCACCACACCCCTCACCAGCTGCAGCAGCCCCCATCTCTTCAGCCTGCACCACAAGCGCCACAAGTGCCACAGTCGCAGCCATCTCAAGGCTCTGAAGCAGCACAGCCTCAGCAGAAGGATTCACAGCAGTCGGCCCAGCAGCAGCAGCAGCAACAAGCACAGCAGCCCAAGAAACCGTCCCCACAACCTAGTCCTCCCCGACAGGCTAAGCGCACCGTGGTGAGTGGACTTGCAGCTGGCAGCATCTTACTTTGATGCTAGTCCCATTTTTAAGGGATCCTATGAACACTCAAGGCAAGAGGTGAGCCCACCAAAATTTAGTCAGATTGTTATCCAGAAGTCTAGAAATTAATGGCCTCAGAGAGCTAGGAGGACACTGTCCTGCTGCAATTTCATTGCATCTCTTACCCCGGAGGGCTCTGAAACCTGTTGGGACCTGGTTCTGATGTATGACATGGGTGTTTATAAAGTTCGCTGGTGGTGGAGCACCATCTTTCCCATGGCACCAGTCTGACCAGGGGAGGAAGCCATTTGTTCCAGAGCTCCCACCAGAAGCTTCTAGGTTTCACTACACTGAGGGCTTGAAGGCTCTATGGGGATGGGAGGAAACAAATGACCTCCTAGGTGCCAGGAGTGTGCCCTGCAAGTTCAGGCCATGTTCTGCCACTGTTAGTGTTCTCTTCATTGCCCAAACTAGGCTAAGTTCACAGTTGTGCTTCCTTTTCCTAACAGGTGGTTTCTCCCAAGGAAGAGAACAAAGCTGCAGGTAAGCAGGCCTCCAGGTTCACCTTTCTCTGCAGACTTCCAGGTGTAGAGCAGCTTTAACCTTAGCGCCCATGGCTACTGTTGTCTGCCAGCAAAAGTGCTATCATTTCTGCTCATCACCAGAGTATTTTTAGATTGTACTTTGAAGGTGTTGATAAGTGGAGGCATTACCAGCAGTAAAAATTTATGCTTAGAGATGCATACATATGACGGTGTAGTCATGAATGAGTGACTTTTAGTGGTGTTTATTGTGAGAGAGAAGTTGAGTCCATCCTAGAAGACAGTGTAGGGCCAGAGAGCCTATGGGCAGCCAGAGGACACAGGTGCTCCCTGCACATATCCTAGCTGCTTAAGAAAGCCAGAGCCCTTTGTAACACTCAATATGTTTTTGTTTTATTTTTCACAAGTTACTTAATATGCTTTACTATGGGAATAAGCAGAATTTGAAGGACTCAGGAACAGGAAATTAAAGTCATTTGCCTGTGTCAGTCTCACTGAACTCAAAGTGTTGTGAGAATTCTGAGAGAAGGATGAGTTCAGTACAGGTGAATGAAGTTTACTCCAGTCACAGGCATTGCGGGTGAGAAACAGTGTGGGCTGTGATCCGTGCCGTGTGGACTACACAGTCAAGATAAGCAAATGTGGTTCTGTTAGACAGAGAAGCTGGCCCACCATGACCGTGGAGGGAGGACTTACGTCCAAGCAGCCAGAGCACTAAGATGAAAGGATGCAGGAAACAAAGAATTGGGACAGTGAGGCCAGACACGAACGAGGAGTCTCATTGGTCTGTGAAGAACCTTTTTATGGGATTGAAAGCATGGTTTGCAGTTCCAAGTTGGGTGGGAGGCCAGATCACAGGCCACATGGAAAATCAGACTTTCTCTAGTTGTTGGGAGCTGTTGAAGACTTTGATGCAGGAGAATGGCAAGGTCCGATTTCCTGGGAGCATTAGTAGGATAATGAATAGGAGAGATAAATGGTTAGGTGTGGAAAGATAATGGACACACCCTTGGCAGTGGTCATCAGGCCAGGAATGGGGAAGCCTGGGGTGCACTGTTGACATGGGAGCGCCCCATGCTGTAGAGCTTGTCACAGCCACTGAGGCCAAGCCAGTCCTTGATATATGGCCACATGCTAGGGACTGTCAGCACAAAAATCACCAAATTTCCAAGACTTTTGTTTGTTATTTCTAGTTTTGTTTTTTGTTGTTGTTTTGCTTTGAGACAGGTTCTCTCACTAGGTAGCTCTGACTGTCCTGGAACTCACTCTGTAGATCAGGCTGACCTAGATCTCACAGAGATCCACTTGCCTCTGCCTGTAAAAAAAGAGAACGTAAAAGTTACGAATAGGATTTGATAGTGAGTACATGTTGAAATAAAGTGTTGGTGTGTCAGGTTAAATGAGTAATACAGGCTGTACTTTTTCACTTGGCTGTTAAAGGTGTGTGGCCTTCACACAGCTGTGCGGCACTGTCATGAAGACACCTTTAATTGTCCTGGCTGTGGGGAGAGGAGGATGGGAATGATACCAGTTACAGAGTGGGAGCAGTCAAGAAAGGGACTGATTCTGGGGTCCAGAGATGCAGTGTGTGATTCTGGAAGAGAGGTGGGCCTAGAAGTTCACTTACTTGTGCAGGCTGAGCCTATTATCCCAGCCCTCTTGAGGTGGAGGCTGGAGGAGCCTGAGCTCAAGGCCATCTTGGAACTGCATGGTGATACCATGTCCACAGACAAGGGACTACACCTGTACCATAGAGGGGATGGGGCAAAAGAGTATCTGGGCCTGAATCCAGTGTTGGTGACCTGAGGTGGTGAGAAAGTGGTCAGCAGTGTGAGAAAGAGACCAGTGGTAGGGCCAGAAGCAAGCTGCTCTGGAGTCCAGGACAGAAGCCTCCACAGAAACAAACAGGATGGAGCTCAAGGTCTGTCATGAGCTTCCGGCCTGCTTAAGGGTTAGGCTTCTCTGGTGTGTTCTGGTAACTGGGAATTTCACTTTGGCGACTAGTGGTGTGGCTGCTGCCCCTACCTGGATTGGTGTTGTCCAACCTGCACATGCTCCCTCCATCTACTCATCTGCTTCCAGACTGCTAGCTGGAAATCAGTGTTTGAGAGTGAGAAAGTAGACTTGAAGGGTTTTCTCGTAAGCACCCAGGGGACTTGGTGACCATGATACTGCTATGCATGGTTTGTCTCTATCCTGAGTGCTCACTGCCCCTTAAGTTGTTGAAGGACTTGTGACAGGGAACAGTCGGCCGGTCCTGATGTTGAGGAGTCTGAGCTGTGCTATAACTTTTAACAGGGTTGATGGGTTCATGGTGGCTCTGCTGTTCTTCCTGCTCCTGGGATGCCTTGCTCATGCCTGTTCTTTTTCTCTAAAGAACTCTCTGCCTATGTTACATGAGAGGGTGTAAGTGACTTTTAACCCACTTTTTCTTTTTAGAACCACCACCACCACCTAAAATTCCCAAACTTGAGACCACTCACCCACCATTGCCTCCAGCACACCCACCTCCAGGTATGTACCTGCCAACACCACTTGTCCAACATCTTTGGAACCACCTACTGGGGGGATGACCTGGAGGGTCCTGCAAAGATAACTGTGTGCAAAGAGCCTTCAAAACTGCTAGTTTCACAAATAGCAATTTGTAGATGCTGTAATTTAGACATGTCACTGCCCAGCCATATCCAGAAATACTGAACTACATGAGGTAAATGAACTTTCGAGATTCAACATGTCACTGACCAGCCATATCCAGAAATACTGAACTACATGAGGTAAATGAACTTTCGAGAAAACCCTAACAGCCAAGAAACGTTTATCCGGATCTGAAGAGTTGCTCTCAGGCTGCAGTTTCTCACCTGCTTCCTGTTTGCAGGATGTCTTTCTGATGGGTTATGAAGAATGAGCAACTGTTGAGTTACTGGAGAGTAACAAAAGGGTATAGAGTTCCCGCACTACATGGGGCTGGGAGGCTCCCCAGACAGCTTTCTTTACTTGTACTTCTTTTCAGAAATGGGCGCAGGAGAGCTGGTGTATCCCAGGAGCCCTGTATCTCTCTGACAATTGGCTGTACTGACAGGTGGTGGGTGTGTATGACTACCCCCAGCTGTGGAGCTCATGCCTGCAGCAAACAGATGCCAAGTAGCTTTCTCTGTGTCCACCTGCAGTCACAGAGGCTTCAGTGCTGTGAGAGTAGAGGTGATGTGTTCTGTGTGGAGCACAACCCCAAGTCCCCATTTGAAGAGGTCTGCAGCGCTGTGCTTAGCACGGGTGGGATGTGGCGCATGAAGGGAGGCCAAGGTGTCAGCAGGTTGTTCCCACCCATGCTCAAGGCCAAGAAAGCAGCTCCTATAGATAGATGCCTCAGATCCTGCCCCTTCCCTGCAGAGCACTGGAATTCCCACTCAGTTGGCTGCACACCAGCTTGGGACATAGGTGGTACCTGGAGCCAGGCCAGCTCCAGAAAAGCCCAGTTGGAGAAAATGTTACCGGGCAACCACTGCTCCTCTGCTGGGAGATGTGGCAGCAAAGCTGGACAAGTAGGCTAGGCTGCAGGCACTCCCTCAGACAAGGCCCCCGGGGATCCTGTGGTAGCTGTCCAGGAAGAAGGATCAGTTCAGAAGAGTTATCAGTGGTCGAGCTGATGACCCCCAAGAAATGTTAAGGTCAACAGCCAGGCTTAGAAGACATTTGGGTCCTTGTGTGGCAGTAGCTTGTGACACAGAGGTGAGACCTCTACCCCAGCACAGTACAAGGGGGGAAAGTACTATTAGAACCAGACAAGTCAGAGCTTAGAATCACAGTAGTCGGTTTCTTTTTCTTTGTGAGGGTCGAGTTCCGTTCAGTTTGGTTTTTTTGAGACAGGGTTTCTCTGTGTGATACCTCTGGCTGTCCTAGAAGTCACTCTGTAGACCAGGGTAACCTTGAACTCATAGAGATTCACCTTCCTCTGCCTCCTGAATTTGCTGGGATTAAAGGAGTGTGCCACCACTGCCTGACTTTTTTTTTTAAGGGTCTTTATGTGTATCCCAGGCCAGTCTTGAATCCCCTTTCCATGTCAGTTTCTTGTATGTATTCTTGAGATTACAAGTAGACATCACCTGTACCTGACCCCAGAAGTAATTTATTAAAGCTTGATATGCATGTTCACAACCCCTGGTGATCATGGAATGACATAAGAATTAAAGGGTTAACTTTGACGTACATATTATTTAGCTTCTGGAACTAAAGGGCATTGTCTGCCCCAGACTTGAAGCAGATCCTTGGCAGATACAGCTGAGCATCTGTTGGGGGAGGAGGGTGGCTGCTGATCTCTAGCCGAGACCCTCTGACAGATCTGTTGTCTTCACCTTGGTGAAAACAGGGTAAAGCAGGTACCAGTTGTGGGCCATGTAAAAGCATGGTGTGGCTGTTCCCTAGCATGTGGGCAGGCACCTTCACGATCCCATGTCCACCAGCCCAGTTAGGACCCAGCGTCCTTCACCCAGGGCTTGTTGAGGAGCTGGAAATGCTCTTCACCTCACTTCCCTTTAGGTGGTCTCCGTAACCAGCAGGTTTCTTGTGTGATTGTGTTCCTTCTGAGCGGCCGTGGGAAGGAGGACACTTGATTTTACGTGTGTGGGTGCTTTGCTTGCATGTATGTCTGTGCAGCATGTTCATGCCTGGTCCCCTTTGGGGTTAGAAGAGGGCATTGGATCCACTGGAACTGGAGTTACAGACAGTTGTGAGCTTCTGTGCAGGTGCTGGGAACTGAACCCGGGATCCTCTGTAAGAGCAGCAAGTGCTCTTAACCCCTGAGCCATCTCTGCATCCCCAGAACACAGTTTTTGAGCGCATATGTAGTAGTGCTAGGGGGATTCCTGGAATCATTTTCCAGAGATTACAGGCCAAGTGAGGCTTTTGGGGAGTAGAACTGCAGCTGTCAGCTGTGGGCAGGCATATGGCATGTTCTGGACGAAGGCAGGTCTCAGTGCTGCTGCATGCTTGCTTGTCCATATACCCTGCCTTTGGATCTCAGATGGCAGTGAGCTTGAGCTTCCTTTTAGTAAAACAGAAACAAAAGTGACACTTATGGAGGGCTGGTTGTTTGACTTTTATGTCATCTCCATCATTTGACGGGCTCAGGCTTTGGGAACAGAGACAAGCAGAAAGCCCTCACCAGTTTGTGCTAGAAGAGGTGAACTGGGCTGAGCCTGCTTATGCCTTGTATACCTAGTAATTAGGGAGGGGACCCAGCATCGTGGGATGTTGTAGAAGGCCTGTGGGAAGGGTCAGGTGCAGGACCTCTAGACTTGTTGAGGCACAGAGGTGGCACTACTCCTCATTCTTGTGTAAATGGCCGGGAGGGGGTGGCAGTGCCTTACTGGTGTCCATGCATAGTTAGGCTGCCAGGAGATCCCTAAAAGCTGCTTGGCCATCTTGGCTCCAGGGTCTTCCTACTGACATGTATGTCTTCTCTTCTACAGACCGGAAGCCCCCTCTCGCTCCTGCCTTAGGTGAGGCTGAAGCAACTGGTCCAGTGGAAGCAAGTGACCTCCCCAAAGTCCAGATTCCTCCTCCAGCCCATCCGGCACCTGTGCACCAACCCCCACCATTGCCGCATCGGCCTCCACCCCCCCCACCCTCCAGCTACATGCCTGGGATGTCTACCACCAGCTCCTACATGTCAGCAGGAGGCTACCAGAGCCTGCAGTCCATGATGAAGACCGAGGGCCCCTCCTATGGCGCCCTGCCCCCAGCCTATGGCCCACCTGCTCACCTTCCCTACCACCCCCATGTCCACCCCCCCACCCCACCCCCACCCCCACGCTTGCCTTGAACTCATGCAGTTCCTCCTCACCCTCCTCCAGGTTTGGGTTTACCACCAGCCAGCTACCCACCTCCAGCTGTTCCCCCTGGGGGACAACCCCCTGTTCCCCCACCCATCCCCCCACCTGGCATGCCACCTGTCGGGGGGCTAGGGCGGGCTGCCTGGATGAGATAACACAACGCCTTTTCCCCAGTTTTTGTTGTTGTTTTGTTGTTTTGTAAAGTCAAGAGTTTTTCAACCAACTTGAAGAGTAGATTGGGCGGGTAGCAGCAGGGTACCTTGTATATGCCAGAGAGTTACAATATGGGAGGGCCGATCCTGGGATGAGAGCAGTGCACCCTGGGTAGTAGTACCCTATGTGGTGTGACCACATCCAGTCTCAGCTGCCATCTGTGTCCTGCACTGGGTTACTTATACTAGTGAAGACGGTAAATAGCCACATTGGCTCAGTAAATAGCTTCAAAAATGAGTAACTTTCCCTCTAGACATCAGTGCCTAATTTTCTGGGGACTCAACTTTTGTAGCTGTGTCCTCCTGTCTGCTGTTGTCTTCCCATTCAGTGCTTCTCTCTATGGTCCTAGTAGGTGAGGTGGCCCCGCTTAGCTTGTGACTCTCCATCCTCTATTGTCTGGAGGGGCTGCCATGCTGGGTGGCTATCCCCTTTTTTCCAGGGAGAAAGGAGGTGTGTATTTGGAAAGTAATGTATGTTTACATCTCTTTGCAAAGTCTTGTACATAAAGATATATTTTTTAAGTGTGAATGTAACTACATACTGTGAATTCCATCTTGGTTACAAATGAGAATCCTTCAGTCAGTTACTCAAATAAAGTCGGTTCTGAAACTGCTGTTTGTCTATGTGGGACCCAAGTAAAGGACATGCAGTCCACTGCAGAAGCATCCAACTTTGAAGGAAACTTCTAGAGGGATCAGGAACCCTCCCATTCGTAGCCTGGAGTGACCATGAATGGTTTTCAATGTCCACTGCAGGCCACCCATCAGCCCACAACAGACAAGCACCACACACCCACCTCGAAGGCTCACAAAGAGACCTTTATTATCTAGTTCAAATAGACACTGTCACAATCTTATTTGTTACTCCTTTTACTAAAATAGTTCAAATCAATGCTTTTACCACACTATCAAAAGTTCTATTTTTCTCTCTCTGCACAATCAAAGTGGTTCAACAGAAGGTAGAAACAGCCGAAGTCCACAGGCTCCAGCTCTGTACACAGCCAGGGCAGGAGGGGGCAGCTGCAGATCTCACCACCGTCAATGCCTATATAAGACTGGCCTGGGGCAGGAAGCAGGCCTGGAAGCCCCTCCCAAAAGCAGCACACTCCCCCACAGTATGAAAATATACACCTCTGCCACTCTGCAGCCATGCATTTAGTTTTCTTAAAAAAAAAAAAAAATCAGTAGTATGTATCTCACTTCCTCTCAAGTTTCAAGAAAGAAAAATGAAAGGTCACTTTGTCTTTAAACACTGGCTTGTGGCTGTTCGACGGGAATGAAAATGTGCTCAGCAGATTCTGACTCCAGGGTAGGCGAGGCCACCTGGATGGGGCCGGGTGACCTCCGTCACAGTGGGAGATGGAGCCAGTGCAAGCATTGTGTGAGCTTGAGATGGACAGCATTGCAAAAAGCTAAGGCTCCAGAAGGGGGGAGGGTCCTGGAAGACCACCTGGCCTCCCCAGTCCAGGGCTCACCGGGTAGCTGCTAGCCCCTCCTAGCTGTTAGGTTTGAAAGACAACAGACTGTCCTAGAGAGCTAGCCCAGTGCTGAAAGCTAGGGCAAAGCTTGCTCCACCCTGTGGAAGGATGGAGGGGTTCTCCAAAAATGTTCTTTGGATTCCCATGATGCCTCTGCAGCATTAGGAATAGGGCCACACCTCTCCAGAAGGGAAAGGTGGCTTCTAGGCTTTTCTTTCTTGGCCAGTCTTCAGCTTCCAGGAGCCCTTACTTATTGCTTATGTCAGCGGTGGCTAAGCCATCCTGATACAAATGGGACTCCAGGACGAGGCTCCCACCTTGTGTGGACCCATTTACCTCATTGTTATTCTGGGGTTCCTTGGCCTCAAAGAACCAGGAAGGGTCCTGTCTGCCCAACAGCCCACTTAGCAGAAATCACAGAGTACCAGCGCCAGCAGGTAGGGTACCAACAAGTTAATCGCTTGACCATACATCAGCTCTTCTAGAAAGAGCTTCCCGGTGGCCCACAGCCACAGCGGTAGGCCTGTTCCTACAGCCCCTGCACAATGCTCCCTGGGCACACCGAGGGCCATGGGCCTTTCCCCTGAGAGTGGGACCCAAGGGTGCGGGCAGCAAAGGTGGTGGGAACAGCCCAAGGTCACGGGGCTTTGCCTGGGAGGGACCCAGGATGCCACCCACCTTCTCTGCCTGTCCCCTTTGCTCACAGGGTGTGGGTGGGGCCTGAAGGAGACCTGCCTTAGGCGAGGACAAGCTCTTTGGGCTCAAGTGCTTGCTGCCCGGGGCTCGAAGTACCATTGAGTGAGGAAGTAACACGGGTGACATTGGCACGGGTGACAATGTCAGCAGCATGGCCTGGCCCTCCTATAGGTCTCGAGTTATTACCTGTACATTTCACAAAAGCACTCATTTTCCTCACGCCAAGGTAGAAAGCATCCCTGTCGGTCATGCTTCGCCATATGAGGCATGATCACGTATATACACTGAAGCACTTATTTGAACCCCCACCCCCACCCCTACCCCCGGTCCCTGTAGGGAGGGACTGAGGTGACCTGTGAGGAGACAGCATGGCCAACAGGCTAGCCACTTAGCATGCTCCCAGTAGGTCGCCACATGAGCTCATCTGTTTCGAGAGAGGGCAGAGGCCCACCAAAGTGGGGTGCTTTCTGGAGTGAGCAGAACAAAAAGGAACCTCAGCCCATTTTTTTACTAGGGGCCCAGAGAAGCTGAGTGACTTGCTGAAGGCCACACAGCAAATTAAAGCCAGAACCAGGTCATGCCCCTTCCTTCCCAAAGAAAACTCATCAGGGGCGGCTCTTGCAGCTCCATCCATAGTGACCCTGGATGCACCTGGAGGTAGGCTACACTGACCCAGCTCCACGGCCAGTTCTTCCTGTCCATAGAGAATGCTCAACTCAGCCCAGACATGCTCCAGGACTTCCTATGTTGCTGTAAACCAGAAAAGGAAACTCGCAGGAGAGACCTAAGAGACGGCTAAGCCTGACACGGGCAGGGGGACATTGCCGTAGGGTGAAAGCTAAGCGCAGCAGCTGGCACTGGGGTGGCTAGGCATCAACCCCCAGGTAGGAGGGAACCCTGAGCTCCCAGCCAGCCATGGACACAAGGGAGCCGGTGCTCCACAACCCAGGATCCTGGCTATGGCAGGGCAGCAGAAAAGTGCCACCTGTGTCACAATTCAGGCTCTGGTGGCTTCTGTCCAGTGTGAGGGACAGCTGGGGTGGAAGGCTTGACGAGGGGCTTCCACCAAGAGCAGGATGGCCCCAGACAGTCTCTGGAGTCTCAAAGCTTGTTGCTAGCGGAACATGGAGCTCAAACAGGGAGTCAGGCTGCCTGGCCACTCTGCTGCGGCAAACAGCCCGTGGCTTCTCATCTTCCCAAGGTTTGCTGGTGAGGGAGGCAGGAGGCGGAGTCCTGGCTGTCAATGTCACACCAGGGCAGCCAGGTTGGCCGTGTCCTATGTACAATTCACCAAAGAGAAAGATGGTGGCTAGGCCAGAGTTTCTGCCAGGTCCAAGGCCTCAGACTCCAGGCAGAGCCAGTTCACATCCGTGGAGGAATGGCCCTACAAAGGCCCCTTGAACTGGTTACCAGACAGGTGCTGCCGGATGGAGGGCTTGGTGCTGGCAGCATCTCCCAGTTTCCTCCAGACCACCTGTGAAAAGGGAGAGACATGGCATTAAATGGAGGGCTGACCCTAGTCCTACCCACTGGCCTCATAAACCTACTGCCATACCACCCTGCAAAAATCACCCATGTCTTCACAGCCGTGGAGCTGGAAAAGTAAGCTGAAGCCACAGGCGGGTGGAGGAGCTGAAACTCAGGCTTTGCCCACCGCCACAGTTATGCCTGAACCCCAAGCGGCCCACTGCTAGGTGTGAGCATATCCTTGTAGATGTCCAGTGGTGTCCATAGACACCACTCAAGAAACAATTTGAGGTATAGCTCAGGGCATCCCACCCCACCTAGACCCCAGGTTCAGAGCCTGGGAAACCACTTTCCTCCTGGCTTCTGTGAGGGTCCAATGGAGATGACAAGTGGGTCTGAGCACTAACTGCAAGGCCAGAGGCCACCAGGGGGCACCAATGAGCACAGAAACCTGGGGCCCTACACCTGGGATGAAGACTAGAGCTCAGGCTCTGTCTAGAGCCCCCAGGCATGGCACTACTGGGAAGGGACAGATCTGGTCAGGGGCCTCTCCTAAGGGGAAGGCATAATAAGTGGTAATGAGCCAGGACTCCCAGGCCAGTCAGCTTCCCCCAGCCTCAGCTGAGCAAGTGAGAAGCAGGTAACTACAGGCCCAGGCCCAGGCCCAGCCCCAGGCCCAGCCCCAGCCCCAGATTCTCTCTAAAAACTCACTGTCCCTTATTCTATCCATGGTCCCTACTGGTAAGACAAAACAAGTCAGGAGAATGACCCAGCTCACTCACATTGCACATCTCTCGAACGATGGCCTTCTCTTTCTCACTCAGGTCCTCCTCACAGCTGTCTTGAAGCTGCCTGTCAAGGTTTTCATGAACTTCCAGAACCTGAAGAAACAAGTGTCAGATGAAGACCAGCAAAAAGGACACTAAGGAAACCAGGGAGCTTGGGCGGGGACTTCAGGTAGACTTGCTCCAAGAGCCACAAAAGAACGTGACAGCCTGTACCCATCCACGTGGGACACAGCAGTCTCTGCTAGCAGCCAGGAGGCGTGAGTGTCGATGCACACGTGTGGGTGATAACCATGATACACACAAAGGCAGGCAGGAGAGCCTGGAGTACCTCTGTGCTCAGGTAGGCAAGCCCACTCGAGACACCAGAGTCTCTTGAAACCTGCCTGCTTGTACCTGGAGGCACAAGGCTAGCCTGGACCTTCAATTCTTGCCTCACTCCCACCCCGGGCCTCTCTTTGGCCTTAGGAGAACGCTTGCCCTCCTCTACCAGGTCAGTTTCCTCAGCTTCACTCCTCAGACTGAGCAGACAATTGACACACTCCAGCACAATTGACCACATCCAGCACAAGTCCCATGGTGTTCCAGGTCACCAGGAAACAGTCTCTCACCACCACTGTTTAAGTGCCCTGAGCTTGGAGATACAGCACCCGTGGGGACCTAGGTCCCATGATCCCATGGTCCCGCTGTGTGCTCGGGAGGGGCCAATGGTGCATTTACCTTCATGGCATGTACAACAGCCTCGGGCTTCTGTCCTGCAGAACTGTAGACGGCAGGAGGGGGTGAGGGCAGCTCGGCTACAGGGCAGGCTGGGCCCTGTGGAAAGAATGGCACATGTGAGGCCCCTGGCTGGGTCCCAGATGCCTGTCACTGGGATGAACACCAGCTTCAGTTACATGGAGCCGATACCCAGATACCCAGATACCCAGACAAGACGAGATAGGAATGGGGGGGGGGGACCTGGGGAGAGGCATGGGTGAGAGCTGGGCACCCTGGAGCTGGTCTCTGACTAGTTCCATGCTTCCTGGCCACACCACCTCTTCTACAGATTGCATGGTGGCTAGCAGAGCCAAAGCGGGGGAGACCCTGGCTGTGGCGGGGGAAGACCCTGTATGTAGGGGCAAGGAAGACCTTCTTTGGGGGTAAGAAGACCCCGTATTGGAGGGGAGACCCTGTATGTGGGGGAAGAAGACCCCGTATGTGGGGTGGGGAAGCCCCTGCATGCTGTTCTGCAGATGCAGTGTGGGCATGTCAAGACAGCCAGAGATTCATGATACTCAGCAGGCTGAGGAAGGGAGGGCGGGGCTCAACCCTGTCCGAGTCCACAGCCCACCCACCTTTCCAAGTCCTGCTCCTACCCCTTGCCCTTGGCCCTGTCTTCACCACCTCGATGGTGAATCAGCCACTGGCCACATGGTCAAAGGTAAGAGCAGAAGTCAGACCAGGTTGGGTCAGGAGGGGACCTAGCTGAATGTTGGCTAGAAGACCTGACCCAGCCTCCCTCCAGCTTCCCTCACTTCTGCTGGCCATCAGCAAGGTGAGGGCTTCTGCCTTGGGCTACAATTACGGGCCACCATGGGGCAGGAAGAAATCCCAAAGAAGTGCCCCGGGGCAAGTGGGAAGGGGGCACTCTGCAGCCAGAGCCCTAGACGGCTGTACCCTGGCACCTGGGGATCAGCCTGAAGACAGAGCTACTCCATCTGCAAGACATGGACCCTGAAGACTCCTCCCAACAATCACAGAAGCTGAGCCAAGAGGGCTGGTTCCCATCCAGCCCTGGCCATTCTACTAGGCCACCATACAAGCCTAGTAGGGGCCGTATGGCTGTCCTTATGCCCAGAGCCTTCCGTTGACAGCTTGCCCACCAAGCCCATTTCTCTCCGGTCACCCAGCATAGATGATCCCCAGGGCCTCACAGGCTGATCTGCTCCTGTTTGCACCAACCAGCATCAGCATGGGCATGGGAGCTCTGCCCCAAGGGGCTTGGGATCTATAAAAGCCAGGGTTGGGCCTGGTCCCTTTAACTGGCACTTGCTTCATGCCTTAGCCTGCTCTGAGCCTCAGTTTCCTCCCTTGGATAAGAAAAAGAAAGGGTCCTATGTGCCAGAAAGCATGCAAAACCCTGGAGACTGCCCAGTGGGCGTGTGTCTGGAAGTCCAGCCCAGACTGCCTGATTGGTGAGTAGGAAAACCGAATAGGGAAAGGGAATGAGTGGATCGGGGATGTATTAGCTGCAGGGCTGCCACCCAAGACAGCTGGACTAGAGCAGAGGTCGCTCTTCCCCCACTGGCCAGCAGAGGGTGCCAGTCACCTCATCCTAGGTGAGGGGTGTCTACACCCTTCCCGGTGGGTTCTGCCGCCCTGTCCCAGGGAAGGCCCTATATCCCAGTTCACCCTGATGCCACCGGCCGAGTTCCTCATCTGTTTCCAACAGACTGCTCTGGGCCCCTCCAGGAAGCAGTCACCAAAGAAACGCAGGGGGCAGGTGGACAGATTGCTGTGCAGCCCAGCCCTCCTGGCTCAAATCACCCAAGCAGTGGATGTCGGGGAGAGCAGGACCCACCCGGGGCTCTGCAAAGGAAAACGGCCATTGCATTGCTCAACATTTAATGACTGATCAAGAGTGACTGATGCGTTGGGGTTAGCATCACGAGGGCCCTCTGAGGCCTCCCAATCACCAAGCACGTGCACTGGGCAGGTCCATCCCGAGTGACTAAATAAAGCCGTCTCACAGATGAGGACAGTGAGCTTGCCGGAGTCAGCTGGTGTACATAAGTCTGAGCCTGGAACTCGGGTCTCTGCCACCCCACAGTTGGGACTGAAAGTGTAGAGACCAGTTTTTTCCAAGACGACTGTCCAAGCCTGACTGCTCCTACCAGGAACCTGGGATTACAAACCACCTCTCCCCTCGGCTGGCAGCAGGGAGGGGGAGGGGTACACCTACTCGCACACTTTTATCTGGGGACTTTGAATGCTTGACCTTGCTGTCCTGCTGAACCCTGTGCGCCTTAAGGAGACTGGCCCCAGTATGTAGGAGGCAGTGACCTGACAGTGCCACCACTGAGGGTCAGGGTGACCAGCCAGGCCCATAGCCTTCACCTCTGAGCCTTTACTCCATGCCTTCAGTGGCTTCAGTAGCTGCTATGGCTGGCGTCTACAAGGCATTGCACCCCCAAGGCCTGCCTGTCACTTCAGCGACCCCTGCCCTCTGCCCTTTGGCTTCCTATCCTAAACAGGCCATACGATTTGAAGGCCTTCAGTTCACAGCCCCCATGGAACAGAAATACCCACCGGTCCACAACCCCACACTGACCCCTGACCTCTAGGCCCATTTGGACACCAGTATGCCCTTGCCCCTGAGGCCCTGTAATCCCTTACAGCCCCAGAAGGCCCACTTCCTCCTCCCCGAAGCAGTGTGACAGCCCCTCTTGTGGGGTGAGACACAGGATCCCCCTCCCATGGCCTCCACCATGAAGCAATCCAGACCCTTCCTTCAGCCCACTAGCCTTCTGTCAGCACTGTTGGAGCCTGGGGCGTGTCCTGTAGGGGCTGGGCTGTGAGAAGTGGGTTGGCACCTGGCAGGCTGACCCATCACCACAGCCAGCCAGCGCTACACTTCACAGGCACAGCTGACTTGAAAGTCTCTTGTTCATGCCATTCAACGGGCTGTTCTCGATCTTTCTCCACCACGGGAATGGAGGAAAGCCGGAGGCGCCAGGCCCCGGGGTGGCATCACTTAGTGCTCCAAGCCCTTCATCACAAAGCAATTAGGCATCATCTGGCCACGGGGCTCCTGGGTAAATATTTGGATTGTCTACAGTCTGTGGGCTTGGCTGCCTGCATAGTATCAACAGGTGGAGAAGGCACCCAGGCTTCAGAAGAGAAACCGCAGAGGATGGCCGTCAGTGGTAGCACGAGCCCTCTTGTGCCATCGCCGTGACCCAAGACCACAGAGGGGCCAAGGTCAACCTTGCTGGTCATCACGGGAGAAGACAGAGCAGGAGCTGGACCCACACACTGCCTGGGAAGTCCCTCCAGATGCCCACACTGGAAGTGCCCAGCACGTAGGTGGGAAGCATGTGACCAGCCACAGAGACTCACACGGGGATGTTGGGGATGTTCCGGTAAGCCCCAAGCAAGGTGGGGGCCTCACTGTCCCACCAAGCCGGTGAGAATGGCAATTGTAAGGCATCCCACAACCCTCTCTGTAGTCACACAGGGGTGACAGGCATGTCTGCTCACAGAGTGTGACCCAGAAATGGACAGTCACTTCCTGAGAGCTAGCTCCAAGCTGCCACCTTCTCCCCATCCAAGGCAAGTCAACACCCAGGTGAGCATGCAGCAGACAACCCTTGAGGCCTGTGGTGGTCCCAGTGCAGAGCCCACTAACTTAAGAGGTCTCACCCCAGCTCCAAAGCCTAGGTAAGGACCCCAACCCTCAATCTCAGGCCAGCAGGCTTCCTCGCTGTTTTACACTCACGAGCAGTGCGGAACACAGTGTTCACCTGGCAGCCCCTGCCATGGACATCAGACACTGCCCTTAGAGTCTAGTCATGTCACCCACCCAAGGCTTCACATCTCGCTTTCTCAGTGGGTCCCCATGAGGCTCCAATGATGTAGGAGTTCCAGGGTCCCTTCCCCAGGAGGGCAGAGAGTAAGGAAGGTCACTCGGGGGCTGGCAGTCCAAGCCCAGGCTTTTGCCCACGGATGCCCTAGGCATAACTGGGGCTTCAAAGACCCCCTGCATGCCCCTGTCACCAGCCTGTCTTGAGTTCTGTCTCCTCTGGAGCTCAGAGCAACAATTCTAAAGGTTCTGGACCAGGAACACTGGGGACCTTCGGTGGGGACACTTACGTTCTGCAGGACTTCCTGGTAGGAGGGCGGCAGGGACGCAAGCTGGGATTCTGAGTGGTATGGGGAGAAGCCTTTCCGCAGTGTCCGGAACTCTCCGGAACCTGCCTGCTGCAAGGGAACGGAAGACAGAGTCAGATCCAGGGATGGCTGACAGATCAAGGCCCTTCATGCCAAGACCTTGCCCTGACCCAGGCACTGTTCTTAATAAGCATGTCACCCTCTGCATGGCAACGTGTCCACTCAAGCACACTCCCCTAGATACCTTATCACCATTCACAGGCTGCCTCTGCCATCAGTCAAAGAACCCCACCCTCACCCCCAAATCCACAGGAACCGGTGCAAGCCAGTGCCTGAAAGGGCAATGGGAATAAGGAGAGAGGGTAGGCACACATGTGCTGGCCTAAGATAGCTCCCCTAGGAGTAAAAAGAAGAAAAAAATCTCTGCAAGCCAGGGTAATGACCCAAGACCAGGAGCCAGAGTCCCCAAGGACCAGGGGAACCTCATGGCGGACAAAGCTTGGTTCAGACTTTCTGCCTTCCAGGTCCAGTCCCACAGAAGACAGCCTTCCTTCCTAAGCCACCGAGACTTCAAAGGAAAGGAGAGAGCCACGGCAGATAAAAACTGCAGAGGAATGTCCATAAATCAGCAAGCTGCTGAGTTCCCCAAACAAGCCAGAAAGGGAGGAGGCCAGGCTGGCTGACAGGAAGGGGGCAGCTGGGCCACAGCCCTGTGTAAGGGGTCCCTCCTCCCACCCAGCAGCCTGCTCATCCAGCCTGGGAGGGATCCCCACATTCCACTGCTGGCCTCCTGCCAGTCACAGGGCTGAGCCCCCCCCCCCACTTCTCAGACCTCCCACCACCCAAATGCCAGAGCTGCTAGCCTTTAGCACCTGCAGGTGGAGACAATGAAAGCCCAGACGGAAATGTCCAGACCACCAGACCAAAAGTTGGGATAGTCTCTCCCCCATTATAGCACCCTCAAACTGAAGAACCCAGAATCCAGTCAGAAAAGAAGTCTGCCAACAGGGCAAGGGGCAGGGAGCAACGTGGGGGAGGGGGGGTTAGGGATGCAGGGATCTGTTGGGCTGCATTTGTTCAAAGGCCAGAGAGCAGGTACAGAGGGCTGAAGCTGTTTCCTCAACCTTGGGTATGACCCAAACTCACGTGGGTACTCAAAAGCCTCCTGAGTGGCTTACACTAGGCTCTTACACTAGGCATGGCCCCAGTGGTAGCAACTGCAAAGAGGTCTTCCCAAAAGACCTTGTGAATGGCGGTTAACTGTGGTACCCTGCCCGTGGACTTGTGTAGGCCATCTGGGGCATTAAAGACCACAGAAAATCAATCCTCCCTGACACAAGGGCCAGAGCTAGTGGAGTGCCCTATGAACAAGTCTCGAGAAAAGAGACCCAACCCCAAATGTACCCAGTACTCCTTAACCCCACCATGAGTGAACCCCTTCTATGGCCATCATGCCTCCCCAGGGGTTACCCCAGCTCCACTCAAAAGCCTGAACTAAACCACAGTCAACTCCCTACGACCACAAAACACTCACCAGCAGAGAACACCTTCTAAGTTCTCATGAGCTCTGAATGCTTGCACATAAACACACCCATGGGTCCTCATGGGACCTTGCCCACCAATGCTGCTCTGTGGGGACATAAAGACAACCCTGCCACCTTGCCATGACTAGTGGACAAAATAAAGACACCAAAGGCAGGTTACCAGCCCAGCAGAGAACGCACAGTGACATGCCACTTGGCCACAGAACCAGGAATGGCTGGGTTCTTTCCCATCAGCTGAGGACCGGGATGGCAGCACCTGCCCTGCCCTGCCCTGCCCTGTCCTGTCCTCACCCACACACAGGATTATGTTTGGGCTGAGCCTCCCTTCCCCCAATCAGGCAGGCTCCTGGGCAGTCAAGTACTGTAACTGAAAACAGTCCTTCCCACCCTTCCTACCCCCCTCAGCTTCCTGGGTAATTTCCTTGGGTGGGGTAGGGGTTTCCAATTAGCACCATACAACTCCCCACCCCTACTCTGGGTGAGCATCTATAAATATTTGCATGTGCGCAGGACTTTATTAGCAAGCCACAGAGCCGGGCAGGGTTTCGCACACACAATCTCTCATTAAGGGGCAATGTGACTAATGACGCATCAAATGAGTAACCACTGCTGCACTTAAATCCAAATGAAAAACACTGCCGGCTGCCGCCTAGATCTCTCGGCAGAACTAAATTCCTGTTTTCATCTTGGAGTGGAGGCAGCGGCTGCAGACCCCTTCAGGTGCAGGGCATTTGCTATGGTTGAGCTAAAGGCCTTCCAGGAAGTGTGCCTGCCCTGGCATCCTAGGAAGGAGCTTGGGTCTCCTGACAGCCAGCTCTGCATTCCTCCCTCTCTTCTGAGCACACAAGGCCATTACACCCCTTTTGGCCCACTGCTAAGGCTTCTGAGGGGCAGCATGAGGATTCTGAACTAGGAGTGCCTGGTAAGGCCTTGGCATGTGGCCTTTGGCTACCCCACTGGACCCAACGGGACCTGATACTGCCAGACTCATTGCCCTCCTATTCCCAGGAATCTCTCCAGGTGGAGGCTTGGGGAACAAGCCTCTCTACAGTCATGCTGGAGAAACCCTGGCAAGCATTGTCTTGGGTGGGGAGGAGGGTGTAGAGACAAGGAGGCTGCCAAACCTGTGGCCCATCCATCTGAGATTCCTTGCTGGGGAAGGTGAATGGCCAGAGGCTGTGCCAGAGACCCCTCCCTGGGCTAGGATGGAGGGAGCATGGCTCACAGCTCCCTACTCCAGGGGAATTTTGTCCCCTAAAATGTGCCATCTCTAGGCAGCACTCACGTCTTTAAACGGCACTTGGAGAGACCAAACCAAGTGGGAGGCATGACACCATGCCAAATGGATGCAGCCAGGCCTGGAGTGGGATCCTGTGTGCTAACTCAGTGGCCTGCCTGCAGGGGTCACTCAGACCAGAAGGCCCACCAGGAAAAGAACTACGGGGACCACCAACGAACTAGAGCCTGGACTTACTGTGCTACTGGTGCAACTAGTATGGGGAGCTGGGCTTTTCATAAGGCATGGGGTCCCCTGCGGACTCTTCCTTCCCTGGCAGCCTCCAGGATACTGAACACATACAGGAAAACTTGAGCTCCGGTGGTACCACTTGGCGAAGCAAGGCCAGAGCCCAGGGAGGCTCAGGCCCCTTGGAGCTCCCTGGAAGGGCCCACTTTTTACTGCAGCTGAGAAAGACCCTGCTTCTGTCTTGAAGGTGGGGTAACCCAGCTGATGCAGGCATTGTCACCACCCCTGCCATGGATATGGGCAGGACATCAAGGTAAGACCTTATCAGGTCCTCCAGGCTATGGGTGGGGGGCCCACAGGGAGCTCAGACACCACTTTCTACCTTTCTTAGTCCCGCCCATGGGCCTGCCTCCCAGGTCTGATGACCTTCCCCTACTCCCATTGGCCTGGATTGGTCACCATAGCGTAATTAATGGCCTGGGTTCATCTGAATAACACAGCAGCCTGCAAGCGTCACTCCACCTGGAAATAAACAGCTCATCATCTCACTGGCCAGGCTGGAAACAGAGGGAGGACTGCAGGGCAGGCAGAACACAGGCCTCTAGGAAGCTGCTCTCCCAGGGGCAGCCAGGACCACAGACAGACCTGGGCTCAGGCCTAGGCTAGAGCAAAGCCCACAAGAATCCAGGCTGTCGCTTGTGTCGGGTGGAATCCCCTAAGCTGGAGCTCATGAGCAGAGGAAGGAGACAAGAAGAGCAGAGCCTGCAAAGACTACTGGCCTCTGCCGGAGCCGGCCAGAGCCTACTGACACTTCAGGCCATGCATGGCACCAGTTAGTTCATTCAGACCACTTAGAGTAGAAGAGGGTTTGGGGGCCAGATACACATGTCACACTCCATTGTGGCTCTCACCTGGGCACTTTGTAATCACCTTGCTGACATGGCCAGCCCCAGGCCCAGGGTCTGGCATGCAGTCACGTGGCTATTGATAGTGGCTCTCAACTGGGATGACACAACCCCTGGGATATCTGGAGATGTCTAAGATATCTTTGGTTGTCACAACTGTTGTGGTAAGCACAAGCCAAGGAGGTTTCCAAACATCCAACTACGAGCAGGACTGTCCCTATAACAAAGAGCTACCAGGCTCATGTGTCCACAGAACTGGAGCATGGGCCGGGATGGTGTAGGCCTCCTGGACAGGAATTCTGGGGCAGGTAGCTTAGAACTTAGGGAAGGAGCAGGGACAAAGTCACTGAAAGCCTGAAAGCTTGGGAAAGACAACTTCCAGAGAGCTCCCACACAGTACTCGCCTGGGCCCAAAGGACCAAATATCATATGCAGTCCCAGCCCAGTGCCCATGGGCTGAGATTTGACCCTGTGACTTTTACTTCCGGGAAGCCACAGCTGTGAGGGTCAGCCCTTTGCTCTACCACTCTCTGGTGTAGACTTCTAGAGGCCTGAAATTCAAGTGTCCTG